CACAATGATCAAGGTAACTTGTAGAAGTTAGAGTTTATTTGAGCTTATGGTTCCAGAGGGATAGGAGTCCACTGTGGCAGGGAAGCATGACAGCAAGCCACAGGCATGGCACCCAGGGCAGGAAGCTGAGAGCTCACATCCCAACTACTAGCACAAAAGATAGAATGAGCCAAAAGTGGAGGACAAGGCCTCAAAGCTCACCTCCAGTGACATTCTTTATCCAGCAAGGGCCTTGCCTCCTCAACTCCTCAAACAGAACCACCAACTGGAGACCCAGTCACACTTCAAATTACCCCAGATGGGAACGCTTCAAGAAGAGGTGAGTACCCAGATGTATTTAAAGACAAATCAGAGAATCGTGTGACAGAGACTGGGAAAGGGGTCACCTTTAAGACCACCAAGGTAGGGACTAGCAAGATGTGGCAGCATGGGGTCTCTACAACAGGAACACAGGCCAGGGTGCAACAAAATACACAGATCATTGGAAAGGAGACTTCTGGGACCTGGTGAATTTCTTCAAATATGCCTTTCTAAATGCAGGAGAAAAGGAAGTGCAGAGGTGGAGGAAAGGGAGGAAGTTCTGAGTTCAACAAAGTTCATCTGAGCAAATTCTTGCTTGACTGCTGCAGATAAGTTACTCTGAGGGAGTCATGGACTCTAGTAGTCATTAGCTACTTCTGCAATTGAAAACATTCTGATACTAACATTACTCTAAAGGCTTTAAAAAATACCCTAAGATTATTTTTTCCTGCTCAGTCTGCCATATCATGGTAAGCACAGAATTTTAAAACATCTGTTCTGCTCTTGCATACTGGTCGGGGAGGGAGTGCTTGTATGGGGTGTGTGTGTGAGCACGTACATAGAGTCCAGAGACCAACATCAGGGGGCTTCCACAGTAGTTCTCTACCTTGTTTTCTTTTCAGACAGGGTCTCTCACTGAACCTGCAGTTCACTCATTGGTAGACTGACGATGAACACACCCCTGGGCTGCTCCTGCCCCCTCCTAACCAACACTGGAATTACAGGCGCACTGCCATGCCTGGTTTTTACATCGGTGTTGGCATCTAAACTCAGGCCCTCAGCTTGAACAACAACAGCCTTGCTGAGCCCTCTCCTCAGCCCATGCTCTACTCTTGAAACTGAATCTTTGTTAGTCTGTTAAGTCCCTAAGGATTCTGAGCTGCTCTGTAGTGACCATTATGGGTGATAGTGACCACCAAAATGCTGCTTGAGCTCTAATACAGTCTAACTAATTCAAACTTGGAACAATCGTACTCTAAGCTGCATTTGGATGATTAGCTAGTTTTTAACCTGGTCCAGCTCAGTAGATCCCAAAGCTCTTGTCTTCCCAGCAAACCAATTTTCCCCTGCAGTGTGTACACTGCCTCTGAAGCACTAGCCACACTCTGAACTATCATATTAGCTGGGTAGGAGATAAGGAGCAAGAAAAGCATCCAGTCACCCAACCACATTTCTGCTTTTTTGTACAGGCTGCAGATGAAACACGGTCACTCAATAACGTCCTTCTGTTTCTCTCCCTCCCTCCCTTTCTTTCTCCCCACTTGCCTGGACAGGGGAACCCTAGACCCTTTGGAGGTCCGCCAGTCACACCAAAAGAATCTCTTGACTATTTTCCCAGGGAATTCCTGCCTTAAATGTCAGCAGAGCACAACTCCGCAGCAAAGGCTGTGGCTTACAGGTCTGAATCAAGGAAAATGAGCTTGTTCTACCAACTAGGAAACCCCACCCCATCCACAAGGCGTGGAAGAAAGGGGAGATTAATTTTTAAGATTCTGCTTTCACTGGGAAGCAAGTTTGCTCACCTCCACTTCAACATGCTGAGCCAAACAATCTAATCCTTGCTGTTGTTTAAACACTGTCTTTATCTGGCTCCATGAAAGGGGACAAAAGCCAGAAATTACCAGGAATTATGACCACAAGACAATGCCTCTGACACACATACACACATACACACACACACACACACACACACACACACACACACACACACACACACACACCCCGATGCCTCAGTACCAGTTGGGAAGCGTCTAGCAAAGCACACAGCTTTACTAGTCCTTCACTGTGGTGGTTTCAGCGGCTGTAGAAGCTGCTGGAGTTGTTTTGTTCATGTGTTTGTTTCTAACGAATATACTGACGCATCAGACCTGGGTGGGGGGGCGCGGGATTGTGTGATGCCAAGATTTGTGAAGAGGAAACAAGATTATTAGATGGGACTGAATCCTCTCCACCAGACTAGAGTAGAGACACTTCCCAACTGGTACTGAGGCATAGGGGTGTGTGTGTGCATGTGTGTGTGTGTGTGTGTGTGTGTGTGTGTGTGTGTGTGTGTGTGTGTGTGTGTGAGCTCCTGTGTGTGCATATGTATGTTTGAGTGTCTGTGCATGTATGAGCACACGCACCTGTGCTGAGGTCAAATGTCAGCATAGGTGTCTTCCAGTTGCCCTCCACCTTCTTTTTTGAGACAGGATTGTCACTGAACCTGGAGCTCACTGATTCAGGTGAACTGGCCTGCAAGAAAGCCCCAGGGTCCCCCCTGCCTCTACCTCCACAATTCTGCGATTGCAAGCACATGTCACTAGGCCTGGTTTTTATGTGGATGCTGGGGATCAAACTTAGGTCCTCATGCTTACATGGCAAGCATTTTGCCAACTGAGCCATCACCCAAGCCCTGTCAGTCCACCTTTGAAGGACTTAGGCTCTTAGCACCCAGTGTGGGAAAACAAATTAATTCCGACTGTCCTTTGTATCTAAACCCAGATCCGCAAAGCTCAGTTTAAAAGCCGTTGTTACTTTGACTAAATTTCCTACCTCCTACTGCCTGGCCACCATTCCCTCAAGCTTTCTTCCTAGGCTGTTTGCTGCATCCAGGTCCACAGGCAGGCCCACAGGAAATGTCTGTGTACCCAGGCAAGAATCTTGCTTATTGCACTAACATTGACACTGTTGTGGGAAGACCAGAAAAGCCAACTCAACTACAAATGGGACAACCATGCTAATAAGAACTCCCTCTGGTGGGTAAAGAGTTAACCCCTATCTGTCTCAGCCACTATGCAGAGTACCAATGAGGGTAAGAGGTGGTGCCAATAGGGTGGCTCCTCCCTTGACGGGAACACTCACCCCTTAGGAACTGGACTGTCAACACATCAGCAGCCAGAGAAAAGGGAAACCGTGGCAACCAAGTCTTGCTGGCACTTTGTGAGGTGGTAACAGGAACTTCAAAGGCCATGCCCAGCATGCTGATGAGCTCAGGGAACCTGCAAAGAAGTTGTCCCAGCACCCCACGGCCCCATGAAGTACCTGGCCCTGTGAAATCCTAGGCCTCGGTACAGGGTGTGTTCACGAAGCACCGAACTCCTCAGGACTCCTTGAGTTCATATACCTCATAAAGACCCTGGCTCCATTTTCTCACGGTCAAGGCAGTTACACTTAGCACATCAGCCTAGAAAGTCAAGGATGTTAACTAGGTGGGAAAATGCACAGCTTTTTGAAATCTAAACAGTAAACCTCAAGAGTTAATATGAAATGCTTCAAAGGGTCTGTGCAGGTTCTTGCAAACTCTCCCTCCCCTCTCATCAGAATATTCTGACTTCAGGGAGAATATCATCAGGTTTCACAATAAGCATCGAGCAACAGTACTCTGAAGAAAGTCGATGCAAGTGTTGTTACCTGAGGATTACTAAGAAATAGTATTAAAGTGCTCCTCTGGAATTCCCATTCAAAAATTTAATCCCTTTTCCTAAGGAGAGCTGAGAGCTTTGTATATGTTGCCTTGTCTCAAGCAAACAAGTCAGACACCCAGACAAAAAGATGGAAAAGTGTAAGAGTCTTTCACTTCTAAATGTCTTTCTTATCATACTGCATACTGAAAATATTTAGAGAGATACACATACTCACGCACATGTGCACACATACACACATATATATATCTTCAATTTGAAATGAAGAAATCAGTTGAGAGCCAGAGAAGCCACAAGTAGAACTATTTATTACAGTTTTAATTGCAGAGTTGAGCAATGAATTCCTGATAATCATTATATTGATTAGACATCATTGATTAATTATTAAGATGCACTCATAAACCAGGGGTTAAGATTATTCCTTTGATATGCACCTATGGTCTATCTAAGGGAAAAAAAATGTAATGAGGACCTGATGGGGCATATAGATATTTCCTACCATGTAGCCATGCATGTAGAGGGGACCCACACTCTGCTCAACTCCCTGTTACGACAATCTTACAATCCTCAATAATTTCGAGCACTGTGTCCTGCACTCATTTTGAACAGCAAAGTATATAGTCAGCCCTGTCCCCAGGTTTCCAAATACTAAATTTTATCTACTCTTCCCAATAATACTCTGTCCTTATCTAACCCCTGTGTTTTTAAAATCTGCTGATTCATGTAGAGAAATTATTATAATAATCATTATTATTGGACTGAGGGAGTAGATACTGTAAGTGGAGTTACAGCTATATATTATCATTATCTTCTCAGCTCACACATTTCAAGTATAACTCACTGCCTATTTGCCACTTGAAAACTAATGTCTAGCTCACAATTCATCTAAATTGCTGGCTCATACAAACCCACTTTCTAATAGTCGTTCAGTTTCAATAAGAAACCAACAAGGCAAATCCTCCCCAGTTCTTGGTGATCGGAATAATCCAAATAAACATGCAGGGAAGTCTTCACTTGAAAAGATTAGTAGCTAGAGAAATATGTCAGCAAGTGCTTTGCATTCCTGAAATGCCCTCTGTCTATAGCGATCAGGTACAGGGACGATTTCTAGTTCAAATATAACTTAGTGATTGCCACATGGTGCAGAATCTTTCCACCCCTACACTCCAAAAACCCAATCAGACAAGTGCCCGTAATCTGACTCCCAGCTCACTGGAGCCCAGGGGCAGGCGATGAGAGCCGCACTCTGGCCAGGGACGGCATGAGCGACAGAGCTGCAGCAAGGCGGTGGGGGTAAGTTCTTCTCTGCTTTAGGGAAACAGTGCCTCTGAGCACTAACAGACGGAACTCTCTCATCACAGATATCCATGTCTTCTCAGACAGAATCTAGAGCGTGATTGACAACAGGACAGGTGGGGTTCTTTTAAGCCTGGGGACCAAGTTTAGACACAAGATAAGCAGAGAAAGGGAGAAGAAAAGGGATGCTTTACAGCATGGGAAATTACTCTGTTTTTCATTAGAAAATTCACTCACCCAGGAACTGTCCAGGAGGGGATGAGACAGTGTATTCAGCTAGGAAGTACTGTGTCTGGTTCACTGCTGCCCGGTCCTATCAACAAATCCCCCTTTGTTCTGGGCAAAAAATACCCAAACAGCAAAAACAAATCGTGTTGGTCCAGTTCCTATGAATGTAAACACACCAGGGCACATTGATGGTGATCTAGGGTCTCTGGGCAATGCTGGAGAGATTCCCACAAAGGCAGAGGGGTGCACACACGCTAGAGGTTTCAAGGTCCACAGCTGGCTGAGGCTGTTTGGGGAGATCGGATTGTTGTGGGTTTTGAGAGAAAGAGGGAGCGAAAACCATTTTAAGGTCTCTACTTATGGTTCTCAGGTTTGGGTGTTGTGTTCTTTTTTAATTTCTCTGACTGATGAAGATTTGACGTTCAAAGAGCACCTGGGTTTCTTGCTCAGGTCTCTGGAGAGGGGGACAGGTGTGCAAAGGAGCAGGGAGAGGTGACAGAGGGTGTTAGAGAGAGGCCGGCCTCTTCCAGGACCGCCTCCCCTGGGTGCTCTGCTACTGAGCAGGGACTGTTCCTGCCCACCCAGCTCCCTTCACTTCCTGCTTGGTCCTCCTTCCTCTGTGGCGCGCTGTAGAGGACAGCACCTGTAAGAGCCCTTTGCCCTCTGCCACCTGCCTCCAACCTGGGCTGCTGGTGAGTTCAGAAGTGACGCTCCTCACTCCTTTTTCAATGTGAGTTCTCAGAGCTTCTCCCTCTGGGGGACCTACCTAATGGCTCCCCTGGGTCCCCTCTCTGCCTCATTCCAACTGCTGTTTTTGTCTCTATATTATCTTCCTCTAAGGCATAGGTCAACGTTATCCCAGCTGGGGTCTTTCAGAACTGCGTGATTCACTTAGCGGGCCTCACTTGGGCAGAGGACATTTGGGGTTTAGCTGGCTGCTCCCCTGGGTGTGTGAGCATGAGCACAGCGTGCTTTCCCTTTTCAGGTCAGAAGGAAAGCCCCACTGTCAAACTAACAGCAAAGCAGAAGTCTTAAAGGTGAAGAAAGCCTCCCCAGCCTGTGTCATACAGGGTTCCTCACCGGCCACACAGAACCCAGGCTCCCTAGGCCAATCAGTGATGTTGAAAAGATAAGAACCTCACAGTGTGTGGGGGAGGTTACAATTCTGCCCTCCTTGAGCCCTTGGTTTTCCAGCCAGCCCTTCGTATAGTCTACTGTGCTAAATGCTGCCCATCTGTCTTATTACAGACCAGGGACAAAAAGGAAGGAATGTCTTAGGTAAGGAGGTAACTGGGGTGACTGCCCTTCCAACGGGGAGTTTAACCATTTCTGGCTAAAATAAGTAGTTGCATTGGTGTCTTCAAACCCGACCCTCTTCAACTCCAAAGATCTAAGAAAGTCAGTAAAGAAGGTAGACGTCAAGAGGAGAGCGACTCCCTTCCCAAAGGCGGCAGTGGCATCTCTCATTTCCTGACCCCATTTGGATCTGCTCCCTCACCTCCACAAGCTCCTCAAGAGGGGGCATATAAAGCTCCAGGGCCAAGCCCATGGGAGAGAAGTCCTCAATGAGAAGCACCATAACCCTCCCCACAGAGCCTCTCTGCTCTGTTTCCTGGACACGCCCCCCTTTTTCTTGCTAATCTTCCTGGCTCTGTACCCTGTGGGTGCGTAGACTGCAGGGGGCTGGCTCGCTTACTCCAGCCTCCAGGAGTTTGGGAGGAACAGGTGTATTGGAGAGATGCCCCATTAGTTGGGGGACAAAGGAGCCCGAGGAGGCACTATTCTGCGTTGTAAACCCTTTTAAAAGCTCCCCTCTCTGGTGCCTGCCCCTCTGACAGCTACTTCTGTCTGTTCACCTGGCCACTGCCTGGGAGCCTGGCACCAGCCTGGAGTGCCCACAGCCCCGCCCTTCCAAAGCCTCTCAGGCTCCCCACTGGGGATTGCGATTGTCACGTCCTGGTGCTGCAAGCCCAGATCTGCCCAGGGGCTGGGGCACAGATGCCCCTCTGGCTCCCAAGCTACTGCCACCGGCAGTTTGCCACCTCCGTGCTCAGGGCAACAGCAGGGAGTGTCTCTGTCCCTGCTGAGTCCGCGCCTATCCCCAAGGCCCACACTGATTACCAGAAGCAGCTCTACCCTCCAAGAGCTTACCTTCCCAAAGGACAGTTGTGCTGTCCTAGCTTCCTTGCAAATCTCCAAATCCACAGGCTCTTGAGGGTAGGAGCAGATACAGGGCTCTCCAAATCCATGTCCAAAATGCCTCTTTGAAGCTACAAAATACAAAACTAGAAAAGATCTGCCTTTTTAAGATATGTTTTTCTTCATTGTTCAGAAAGAAATTTTTTCTTTATTCTTCAGAAAGATACATTGTCTTTATTCTTCAGAAATGTATACACAATGAAATATGAGAACAACCACCCGTATTGTCACCCCATTCAACTCTCCCCATATTTCCACACCTCCAGTCCCTGGGATGACCTCATCCTCACTCATAGGAGCTGCTTCTTGCAGCAGACAGCAGAGGGTGCAGAGATGCTCAACAGGTGCTGGGAATCCATCCTACACCGAATGCTCTACCCCCTTCTTTTTCAACTGATCTCTTTCACGTGTGTGATGGATGTTTTGCCTGCATGTATGTCTGTGTACCACCTGGTGTATGCTCATAGATGGCAAAAGGCGGGGGGGGGGGGGGCTTTAGAGCCTCTGGAAGTGGAGTCACAAGTGATAGATTGCACTATGTGGGTGCTGGGAACCAAACCCGGGTCCTCTGGAAGAACAGCCAGTACTCTTACCTGCTGAGCCATCTCTCCAGCAAACCCCCTCCCCTTAAACTGGATGCCTGAGGGAACTAACACCCAGTTAAACACATCTTACTCTTAAGCTCCTAAGGAACTTGGTTGAGATAGTTCATTTCTAGGGACAGCTGGGGTTGCGGTCCAGAGACTAGGAAATCAAAGGATCAGAATAGTGACCTCTTGGCTACTAATTAAGGAGACTTCCAGAAGCATTCTGTCTTGGTTTGCAAAGAACGTTCAGTAGCCCATCCTCAGCCTGCAAGACTGAAGGCCTTGACCCCCTCTGCCAAATTTCAGCGCCCCTTCCAGCTGGAAAGCCGGGTTGGTGGCTCCTGATTCTCAATGTGTTCTTCCTTCCAGCAAGTGTGGACATTCGTGCAGCAGAGAGAGGATCATGGTGGCTTTCAAAGGGGTCTGGACTCAAGCTTTCTGGAAGGCAGTCGCAGCGGAATTTCTAGCCATGCTTATCTTCGTTTTGCTCAGCCTGGGATCCACCATCAACTGGGGTGGATCGGAAAACCCCTTACCTGCGGACATGGTCCTCATCTCCCTCTGCTTCGGACTCAGCATTGCTACCATGGTGCAGTGCTTTGGACACATCAGTGGTGGCCACATCAACCCCGCTGTGACAGTGGCCATGGTGTGCACCAGAAAGATCAGCATTGCCAAGTCAGTCTTCTATATCTCTGCCCAGTGCCTGGGCGCCATCATTGGAGCTGGTATCCTCTACCTGGTCACACCACCCAGCGTGGTGGGAGGCTTGGGCGTCACCACGGTAAGAACGCTTACGTTCTTATTTCTGTTCTAGAACTCCAGGCTGCATTCATCAAATGAGTCGATTAAGGAGTGCTTGCCTGGAATGCAGGAGGTCCTGGGTTCTAGTCCCAGCACCACATATATGACCAGAGAAGGAGCATCAGGAGTCAAGGCCACCCTGGACTGTATAGTGAAACCCTGTCTAGATAGAGGAAAGCTATTGAGAGGACATTATTATTCACTATTGAGTGACTTGAACATGATTTAAAAGGTCTCAAAATGCTTTGTGTTGTCTTTCTCTCCCACTACAGTAACGACTTGAGTATGGTTTTTTGTTTGTTTGTTTGTTTGTTTGTTTGTTTGTTTGTTTGTTTTGAGACAGGGTCTCATACTCATTATCTAGCTGAGGTTGGCCTTGAACTTGTAGCAATCCTCCTGCCTCAGCCTCCTACTTGCTGGGATTACAGGTGTAAATCAGCATTGACTGGCTTGACTGTATTTTTATCTTAAGGCCTTACAATTATTTGTTTTCTAGCAGGGCCAACAATTTGTTGCTTTTCGTGTAGGGGACTTTAGATGATCTGCATAAAGTGTCATGCCTTGAATCTCAGCACTCGGGAGGCAGAAGCAGGCAGGTCTCTGAGTTTGAAGCCACCCTGGTCTACAAAGCAAGTTCCAGGACAGCCGGGGCTACACAGAGAAACCCCACTGAAAAAAAAAAAAAGTGCGAACCCACAGTCATTGGATCTCCACTTTACTCTTTGTGGGTTGGCAGTATTACTGGTTAGCTCAGCGCCAGGGCTTTAGTTGAGACACCTAGGAACTAATCTAAACCTAATCAATGGGTCTAATAATTGCTTTGTAATATTATAAATCTCTGAAGAGCGTCTTTTATGCTCTAAGTGCAGCAGTAACACATTTTGCTTGTGTTGCTAAAAACAACATTCAGTGAAAATTCAGTCACTGTAAAAGTAATTATCTGTAATGGCCCAAAATGAGAGTAAATTGATTCCTTCCTTTTAGGAGGTGGAAGGCATTGAAATCGCAGCCTGGGGTTGGTAGAAGACTCAAGTTAACCATTGCTTCCTATGCAGATAAAATGCCCCCTTCAAACCCATTCATTGCTGTAGACCTAGACTCTTGCTTCGATTCTGATGGAGTATCTTTCCGTCTCTCTAGGTTCATGGAAACCTGACTGCTGGCCATGGGCTCCTGGTGGAGTTGATAATCACATTCCAGTTGGTCTTCACTATTTTTGCCAGCTGTGATTCCAAACGGACTGATGTTACCGGTTCAATAGCTTTAGCAATTGGATTTTCCGTCGCAATTGGACATTTGTTTGCAGTAAGTTTTAAGTCCATTTGAATAATTGATCATCTCACTTAGCCTCCCCCTGAAGCAGGCCTGAAGATGCTCTTTACAGCGAGAGCTCTCTTCAGCTGTTTTTAGTATTAATCAGCTGAGAACGCTGTATTGTTTCCTAGGACAAGACTTCTGCAGCCTTTACCATTGTAACCAGTGACCTGGCCAGTGCCGCTGCAACATCTGCGTTATTTCAAGAGTGTTGTTTACTTCAGTGTTATCTTTTCAACAGAGAGATGCATGTTAAAAAATGATCTGCCAACTAGACGGACATATCCATGTACCCTGCAGATTGTGCCACAAAATCCACAGCTCATTCAGATCCAGCCGAGTCGGTTGGTGTTAAGTGATCGATCACTTGGCCAACTATGAAGGGACTAAATCTCAGTGTTCCTCTGAGGAGAGAACAGCAAGTTTCAGCAAATGTTAAGAGCCCTGTTTCCAAAATGTCTGAGGTTTTGTTCTTTTTCCCTGCAGATCAATTATACCGGGGCCAGTATGAATCCAGCCCGATCCTTTGGACCTGCAGTTATCATGGGAAACTGGGAAAACCACTGGGTAACTACTAAATTGATATGCCCACCTTCCTGAAGTTAGGACAAGTGTCCATAAGACTTTTTATTGTCTTAAATAAATTAGCTTACTAGTTTCTGTGGCTCTCTCTCCCACTCCAGCTCTTAGCTGGTTATTGCCTCTGTCACAGGGGACAGAGAAAAGCCTAGCAGAGTCCTGTAGAAAACATCTCAGTATTCTGTTCTAGGTTGTCACTGACAATTGGGTTTCCTTGAACCATTAGTCTGGACATAGATCTGACAGACTGCAGCAGAAAACTTGGAACATAGGGTTTCCTATGTAGAATAAATTTAAATCCTAAGGATATGCTGAATATTAGTGTTTAAATCATTGAAAGAAAGCCTTCCCAGCAACAACAGAGATTGAAGTTATTATTTTAAAAGGAAAGAAAGGAATACTTTAAAGTATCACCTATGACAAAGGTTTTTAACCATGTTAGTTTACATAAGCACAACATAATTAATAGCACAGGAGCTGGAAGCATGGGAACCGTGGATCACACCAAATAAATGATGCAGATGCTGATGCCATTTGTCACCACAGCTGTGTCTAGAAAAACAAATGAGCCCCAAGAAGGTGCACTTTTTAATCTCAGGACTACCTTCTTGTCAGTATGGGCCTAGAGTGGCGAGAGTCATAATCATTTCTGTTTCAATTGTTTCTGTCAACAAAAGAATTTATATCCTTTGAATCACAGGCAATTGTGAAAGTCACTCATACTTTAACTTAAATAACCTACAGAATGTGATATATACATGCAAGCTTAAAATAGACGTAACTTTTATTGCCATTCATGTATTGTGAATGTGATTTTACATTTTGTAAAGTTATGAATGTAACAATCTGTTGTTTGTGCTTTGATCTTATGCATGTGGCTGCAATGGATTCAGCCACAACTACTCAAGGATGGCATGACCCAGCAAAAAGGAAAATGTCACACATGACTGTACAAATTCCCTCGTACAAAATGTGTACTGAGCTGTTGAGACAGAATTTAGGCACAGACATGCAAAATCTTGATCCCCAAAGTCATTCACTGGACTGGTCATTTTGCCACTGATATTTCTGAAAAGACTTACTATGTTAACCTGGAATTTGCTTTCTCTGTGTGTGTGATGTATGTTGGTGCTGTGTGTGTTCATATGTGTGAGTGTAGGCACACACCTGCCATGGCATGTGGAGGTCAGAGGACAAGCTTGGGGATCAGTTCTCATTTTCCACCTTGTTTGCCGCAGGGTCCCTTGGTGTTCACCACAGACCACCAGGCTAGCCGTCCTGGGGATTCTCTTATCTCCACTTGCTATTTCCTATCCTCACAGCAATTACAGGCATGCACTATGGTGTCTTGCTTTTACTTGGTCTTAGGGACTCAAATTCAGAACCTCACATTCGTTTTGCATGGAGACACTTTATCCAGTGAGCCATTGTCCCAGCCCCCAAATGGAAAATTTTAATGTGAATTTTATAGATTGTCCAATAAATGGGCAGGTTTTAATTAGGTAATATAATGACAATTTAGGAGGTTTTTTTCTAACACTTATGTAGTTTTTGTGTTTTTCTGTTTTCAACAGTAAAATTATTCATAAAATTTGAAAAGTACTTTAAAGTACACATAACTCTGTTTGGGAATAGCAATTTGGCACCAAGATTGAGTTTTGAGAACATGGGGCTAGCCGTCTCCTCCAGGGTTGGGGAAAGGGTAGTGATTGTTTAACAGTGGCTGTTCTCCTTGTGGACTTGAGGTCTGTGAAGTAACACCGACCTCCTGTGATCTTACCAAGGGAACAAAGAGCAAAGGCATTTAGAGGAGGGCTCTTGTTTCTCCTTTGAAAGGGTACAGGGAAGATAAACTCGCCTTTGGGCTCTTTCATGTTCAAGATAAGGAGCTTGGTTGGTCCAGCAGCTCTCCCAGCTATTTCCCTGTGAAGGATATGAGCTCAGCTTCACGGGGAAGCTTGGCTCTCCTTTGGGGTCTATAGAGAAGATGCCAAGTACAGTTAATTTCCAGATGGCATTTTAAGCGAGACCTAGTTATAAACTTTATTCAAGTGAGAGAGCAAACAGTAAATTGGTAAAAGAGTGTTCTGAAGTCATGTAAACCAGACATCTCAACTCAATCATTTAAGTATGCTATCTTAAGTAAGCTTGTGACCTCTCAAACTGTCAACTTTCCAGTCCATAAGAATGTATGTTTTAATAATATCTGTATCAAAGGTTATTAATGAGATAAGAACCATGCTCAGTACAGTCCGTTATAGTGCTCAGTAAACAAGGGATTGGTCCCAGGTGACTCTGTTGGATGAGCGCCTAACGTTCTACAGAGTGAGTGTGCTCTATAGTACATGCTCCAGCCTAATCAGACTGAAAGCTTAGTTCATTCTGGGTGCATCACTGATGCCATAAAACATGCAGTTTACTGAAACTCTGCGGAATCACTCCTTCATCCCTACCTAGTCACCAGCCCTAAAGTCAGCAGAGGTCGTCACTAAAGCACTATGCAAAGAGAAACACGCTCCAATGAGAGAGATGAATAAGCTATAGTGTTTCCTCTGCAATAAAGTCACCGAATTTTACAGAGGAAACGCATCTAATTAACAGCCAAGTCATACACAGAGCTTTAAATTGTCTAGGAAGCAGGAACTGAACTGGTTTCCATGAGCGAAAAACCACTAAGTGGTATTTCATTTAGTCCTCGAAGCCATGTGGAATATATAATAGCCCTGCTTTGAAGAAAGTAAGGTATAGACGTTGAGTCACTCGTGGCATAATTTAATTGGTAAAGTGCTCGCCCAGCATGCAGGAAGTCCTTGGCTCTCTCTGCGGTACCATACGCACTGGGCATGGTAGCACAGGCCTGTAATCCAAGCCCTCCAGAGGAAGAAATTGTGGGATGAGCAGTTCAAGGCCATCCTCGGCTACGTGGTGAGTTCAAGACAACCTGGGATACAAGAGACCTTGTCTCTAAACGGAAAAAGTTCCTGATGTAAGCACTCAGAACTGCTGAGTGGTGGAGTGTGGACTGTATTCATTGTGCCATACTGAATAACAAATACCCTGAATGATAGAACTGCACCATGATCTTGATTATACAGAAAATCAAGGTAAGGCTAATCAAGGCTAATATAGAATACATAAGAGAAACATGCTCCAAAAATTCTTTTTTCTTCTTAATTTAAAGAATTCCTAGTAGAGTCTGCTTAATTTGTGGAGCCAACAGAGAAGAGCTATTTTATGCTAAGACTTACCACAAAGTTGATAAGCCTGATGTGACAGTACCCACTAATATTTTTAACACTCATGATGCTGAGGGTGGAGGAATGTGAGTTCAAGGCTAGCCTAAGCTATGTAATGAATCTTAAGAGCAGCCTGAGCTAGACCTTGTCTCAAATAAATTGTCATCGTCATCATCATCATTACCACCATCAGAATATTAAAAATATAATATTAAAATAAAGAAAATAGAAGACATTATTCTTTCTTATTTTATGTTCAAATGTTCTTTAATAATTTATGGATCTTTTGAGTAGATTTGGTATATTTTTTCATTTATTTTCAAATCCATCTGTGTGTGTGTGTTTGTGTATATGTGTGTGTGTGTGTGTGTGTGTGTGTGTGTGTGTGTACGTGTTTAACACAGTTGCTGCCTTAATTTAAGTCAGTTAGATTCTACATTCATGGTTGTCCAGTGAGACCAGTTTTCACTTTTCTCTACTCCTCTCCTCTCCTCTTCCATCTTTCCCCAGATATATTGGGTTGGACCAATAATAGGAGCTGTGCTCGCGGGGGCCCTTTATGAGTACGTCTTCTGTCCCGATGTGGAGCTCAAACGTCGCCTTAAGGAAGCCTTCAGCAAGGCTGCGCAGCAGAACAAAGGGAGCTACATGGAGGTGGAGGACAACAGGAGCCAAGTGGAGACGGAAGACTTGATTCTGAAGCCGGGGCTGGTGCACGTCATTGACCTTGACCGTGGAGAAGAGAAGAAGGGAAAGGACTCCTCTGGAGAGGTACTGTCCTCGGTATGACTAGAAGAGGGCACTGAGAGCAGAAGAGACTCCCTGGAGCTCGCCTCGGACTTCCTGCCACCCATCAAGGAGACAGATTTGTTATAAGTCAGCCACCTGCAGGTTTCCCTTGTCACATCTTATTACTCAGTTTAAACAGCACATGTTTTACTAGTATCAATGGGGGGAAGAAGAAACCTATAATGAATATGAAACTTTAAAACAGATATATTTTTTAAAGTATACCCAAAGCAAATATGCAACTAGTTTATTGAGTTCCCTTTCATTAATAATAACTGAAAATGTGTACCAAGATTTGGTCAAGTCTTGCCTGACAGAGCATATGGGCACCTCCAGGATGAAGCTGGTATTGCCAATCCTCACTTTAATATTGACTTCATTGGATTGATTTAACAATGACAAAATGCAGTATGTCACAGTGCCGTGCTCATTCAAGAGAAGAAAAGTAGTAAGTTCTTTCATGAGCCATCCCTTATTTATAACTACCTCAGAGGGAAAAAATTAGCAAGGGTCATTGCTGATATGCCATTTGTATTTATATTGCAAATATCTGACTGGCAGTTCCCAAGCCCAACTCATTATAATCCTTCTTCCTCCCCAAACTCCAAGAAACTATAGGGCTAAAGTCAAGAAATTTGGAAAGAATATTAATCTGCCAATGTGTTAGTTCCATCTAATGGAGCATAAACATGGGACATCACTGAGGTTCAGGATAGACAGGCCTAGGGAATCTGGTGGGAGGTGGGGCCTGGCAAGTGTAAGAGCGAGGGGAACCTGTCCTGTCACCAAACGACTGTTCTGTTTTCAGTGCTGAGTCTTAAACGCACCACACAAGACTAACCACCTAAGCTTTCAACCGCTTCATTTACTTTTTAAAGTTTATTGGCAAAACTGGGGAATTCGTTTGTCATTCTGTTGTCTATATTGAAACACTAGCTGAGATATGTTTGACAAGATCTTGAGAAGCTGAGTTGTGCCTTTCTTTGGTGTCCAAGCCCTGCTTATTCTAGACGGTGTAAACTGGTCCTGCCCCATCCCAGCCTCTGATGCTGTCTCCCTTCCCATGACAACTGTTGGTGATCCTCACTGTGAGTGCATTAATACCTACAGTGAATTAAAATACGTGGCAGACAAGGTACAGCAGGGTTGCCGAATAAAGGGGTGAGGAGACCACCTCTGTTTCAAGCTCCCGTGAGACCCACCTTTCCTACTACTGCACATAGCTTAATGTGTTTTTAAAGTATTTATCCTACTGCCTGGTTTATTTGTTAAAACATTTGTTTTTCCCATACTGCTTTGCCTTCCTCCAGTAGAATGCTCTGTGGAAACCCCAGTTTCACCATTGTAAATGTCTAGCCCAGCATTTTTCTTAGACATCACACTACAAATGTCAACTTTGCTAAACAAAAGTTAGAGTAGTGGGAGAGAGAAGACCCATCTCTGTAAGACTAGAGAGCTTGAAAAGAGCCAATAATCAAGGGCTTTCTTCTCCCAAGCAGAACTCCAACTGTGTGTGACTTCTTATTGTTAATGGCAGTTTTGTGTCTGTGGCAACGAGATAATGGACCACTATTAAACCTAATTCTCTTCGGTGCTAGGAAACTGGTGTGCAAGTTCCCAGACAGCTACAAGACTAGCATACGCCTCTCAGTGCCACCCGCAAACTTTACAGTAGATGCTGGAAGCACAGGCTCCTTTTTCAGGGCATCAAATATGCTACACCAGAGCCTAAAGACACTCTCTAACTGAGTGGCACTCACAGAGCCAGGGCATAAGCCTCCCAAGGGTGGTTTGTGCCCATTTTTTCAAGTGTCTTCACAATACACCACATAGACTTAAGGTCAGGGTGCTTCAGTTCAGAGGGTGATATCGGCCATCAACAAACATGTCAGGTCAACATCAACTCAGTTGACAGGAATGGCCCAGCAGATATCTGATGACCCTGGCCTGTGGTTATTTCTAGAGTGCTGCACAGTTTACTTTGTGCGTACTCACTTAACACTCATTTCCAGTGATAGCATTCAATATGGTAGGGACTGAGAAACAGTGAATCACGGCAACTGGCATGGTGCCAGGCACACAGTAGGTAATCAAAACAAGCATATTATTTGGTAAAAATATTTGACTCTCATTTGGAATTTAAGAATACCAATAATCTCTTCTAATTTTTAATTTTGCCCAATATTTAATAAAAGTGTAATTTCCAGTATCATCAAAGGCAATATGGATGTGAAAACAAAGAGCGTGGTTTTACAATCTATTGTTTAAGGGCAGAGGGCGAGGGCTTCGGCATGCTTCATCTTTGCATAGAAGACAACATGTCTTGAATTTCACTCAAGGCTCTGCCAGTAAAGCAGTAATGAAATTGTACCTTTCTAATGACATCTATGCAGCAGGGGTCTCTTGCCTTGTGGATGGCACCAAATTATCCAGTGTATTAGGAGATCAGGGCTTTTTCCTTTAATCCCTTCTTATTAATGAAGTGCACAGTGCTGAACAGCATAGTGCTGTTCCCAAGGGACAACGACTGACAGACACAGCAGAGAGATCAGAAAGGAAAAATCAGGAAGACATAAAAGATTTATACGAGCCACGGAACGACGCCAACTGTGCTCCCTCAGGAAGAGGACACAGACAGCCCCCAAATTTCAACGTTGTCCATACACTGAAAATGCACATCGTCTGTTAAAACAGTGAAGAAGGAGTCATGCTTATAAAGATTTTGAGGGTTTCTTTCAAATGTAGGACCCAGATTTTAAATGCATGTTTCCATTTTCTTCCAAAACTCCTAATTTTTTACACTACAAGGAAGTGTTTTCTGGAGCCTAAGTCACTGGTGATTTCAATTGCTTCTATCATTTGACACTACTCAGAGATCCTTTTCCTTGAAATGATCAGAGGGGTGTTGTACCACAGCTCCCAGACACTGCTGGCCAGAGCAACTCACTGTTGAAGATTTCATAAGGAGTATAGAAATCTCTGTAAAGTGTGCATGAGTGAAATGAGTTGATTTATGAGAGATCAATTGCAAAAAGCACCACAGCTCTTCTAGATGAATCCAGGCAATGTGTGTACTAGTCTAACTTCATTGATAGAAGCAAAATTCCAAAAGAGAGTAACAGATTAAAATGCTGGCACTAGTCCTTGCGTGGGCCTTTGCTGCAACATGTTGACACCCTCCTCAAATGTCACAAATGGGGCAGGCACTGCCTCTGTGACAATTGAATAGACAATCGTATAAAAACTATAAAAAGTTCTTATCATAAGACTACAAGATATGCAAATCTGGAACATTTTGGACATGATAGTAATTACACCTTTCCCCAGTAAACTGACAGAGTGGAAATTATTAGGAAAGCATGGTTACTATATTAATAACAAAACTCACTTTCTTTACCTCAAATTTTCTGAGTTCATGTCTAGGTTTCAATGCTTTTCAGAAAACCCTAATAACACAAACCTTTGAAAACCATAATTCTCAGAAATAAATGTTAGACCTTTAATTTCAAAAATCAAAACTGAGACTACTCACTTTTTGCAAATAATTTCCCATAGCCTGTGAAAATACATACCCAACAAATGTTCTACAACATAAGCTGTGAACACTAAATTTAAGAGCAGTTATACTGTTACTCTTTTAAGTCAAAAATCAATGGCTAAAAGATACTCCTAAGTTATATAGCCCATTGTGATGTATTCTTAGATTCTTTTCAGGATTAAGTAAACATGCAATTTATGGAAATATATGAACAATTATTTATCATTTTATCACCCAAATCACAATAATTTTGTAACTCATGATGAACCAAGCAAAATAAATGTATGGTTATATTCACAATTGTTTATTAACTGAAATGTTATTCCAACATTAGAGTTAATGTTAAAGAGATTTAAACTATAATGTCTAATATTTGAAAAAAATCTATTAAAAGAATTAGCAGTGTGGCTGAGTTCCATGTCTTCTGTTGCATATCATGTTACTAGACTCACACAAATAAATCTTCAAATGCTTTTGAAAGTAAACTGTGTATTTCGTGGTGTTTTAAATTCAGTTGTAGTATTTGCACTCCCATTAAAATGAACAGGAGGTTTTGATACATGAGTATAATCTACACCAAACAAAAAGGTGGTAGATCCCATGAAATCATTTATACTTTGTGGAAGCCTGCAGAGTTATACTGGGATAGGCCCTGATTACAGACAGTGAAGATTGGGTTTTCATTGGCTTCGTTCATAATGTCCACATCTGAAAAATAGACTATAGGACATCAGCTATCATCACAGTGAATCCAAACACAGACTCCAACAACTGACAGGCGCTGCTACACGGATGGTCTACCTTCACGGTGTTTGGCAGCTCCTGTCCATCCAGATGGATAATATAGGCGCAGTAAGTACTTAGCACCCTCCCCCCACCCTGTTCTTGGTTTAAGGAACGTCTCAATTTTTAGCAGTTATAGACCTTTATTGCAAGGTTGGGGTTAATCATTTATGGAGTATACAACCAATCTGATGGGTGAATAATCCTTGGGAGCCAGATCAATATGTATCTCTCATAACATTTGTCATATTACAGTGAAATGATTTGCTTAGGTGCCTGTCTCCTCCACTAGATTCTAAACCCCTGAATGGCTATGAACGTGTCGTATTTATCCTGTGTGTTTCCCTTTCCAACTCTCACTCCTGTGTTGTAAGAGGCTTGACATCCACTGGATGAGTGCTTGCTACAAGGACAGAGCAATTAAAGAGTGTCTAATAATCGTGACAAAATGCCACAGAGCCCTCTTCTTCAACATAGTTGCTCTGTGCTGCTGAGATGTGCATGCTAAATATTTGAATTCTTATGATTCCAGGTAAGAGCTCAAAATCAGTTCAAACACAAAAAAAAAGAAAGTGCACACCAAGAATGCAACATTAATTGGATTTCTAAAATTTATACCCAATGCGGAGGCAACAAGACATGTTTTCATTGCTGTGTTTACGCAAGAGCCAGATGTTAGATGAAATTTAGTTCAGTTGAACACTTCAGCAAGCAGAGTATTTTAACAGGCATGGAAAGCTTAAGATAGAAATGCCAGCCTGCTTAATGTCCAAATCAATATGTCACCTGAACTAATTCTTACCATTTTTTTTTTTTCTGATTTTCCCACTTCTTCATTGTCTGGGTTTTTTGGAGGTTTTGTTGTTGTTGTTGTTGTTGTTGTTGTTGTTGTTTTCTTGTACTTATTTTATATCCTGGCCATAGACTTCCCTATCCTCTCCTCCAGCCCTTCCTCCAATTCCCCCTCCCACCCCTCAATCTCTTCCTCTTCGGTCTCCATCCAGGAAAGGGCAGGTCTCCTATGAGTATCAAGAAAACATGGCATGTCAAGTTGCAGTAGGACGAAGCACCTCACCTTCTACTAACACTGGACAAGGTGACCCAGTGTGAGAAGTAGGGTCCCAAAAACCAGTAAAAGAGTTGGAGACAGCCCCTGTTCCCACTGTTAGGAGTCCCACAAGAGGACCAAGTTACACAACTGTAACATACATGCAGAGGGCTTAGGTCAGTCCCATGCAGGCTCCCTGGTTGTTGTTTCAGTCGCTGAGAGCTCCTATGAGCCCAGTTTAGTTGACTGTGTGAGTCTTCCCGTGGTGTCCTTGACCCCTCTGGCTCCTACACTCCTTTCTCCTCTTCCTCTGCAGGATTCTGGAACACTGCCTAATGTTTGGCTGTGGGTCTCTTCATCTGCCTCCATCAATTGCTGGATAACACCTCTGATGACAATTGGTCAAGGCACCAGTCTGGTCACAGGAGACAATCAGTTCAGGCTACTTATCCACTATTGCTAAGCCTAAGTTGGGGTCCTCCCGTAGACTCCTGGGAGATTCCCCTACTCCAGGCTTTCACCTGACCTGCAATGCACCCCCAAGCCATCCTCCTCAGCACTCTACCACTCCATGTCCCCACAACCTGATCTCTCATGTTCCCACCCCCACCTGCCTTCAGTCCACTCACAATATAGGGAGATCTGGGTGTCCCCCCAAGGTAACCCTCCTTGATACTAGCCTCTCTGGGTCTGTGGATTGTAGCATAGTTATCCTTCATTGTATAGCTAATATCCACTTATGAGGGAGTACATGTCGTGTTTGCTTTTCTTGGTCTGGGTTACCTCACTCAGGATGATTTTTTTTTTCTAGTCCTAACCATTTCCCTGCAAATTTCATGATGTCATTGTTTTTACCAGCTTAGTAATAGTCCATTGTGTATACGTAACACATTTTCTTTATCCATTCTTTGGGTAAGGGGCATCTAGGTTGTTTCCAGGTTCTGGCTATTACAAATAATGCTGCTACGAACATAGTTGAGAAGGTGTCCTTGTGGTATGATTGAGCATCCTTTGGGTATATGCCCAAGAGCAGTATAGCTGAGTCTTGAGGTAGGTTGATTCTCAGTTTTCTGAGGAACCTCCATACTGACTTCTAAAGTGGCTGTACAAGTTTGCACTCCCGCCAGCCATGGAGGAATGTTCTTCTTCACAACAGGTGTAAGGTGGAATCTCAGAATTGTTTTGATTTGTATTTACCTGATGACTAAGGATGTTGAACAACATCTCCTTAAGTGTTTCTCAGCCATTTGTGATTCTTCCGTTGAGAATTCTCTGTTTAGCTCTGTAATTCCATTTTTAATTGGATTATTTGGTTTGTTCATATCTAGTTTCTTGAGTTCTTTATATAGTTTGGAAATCAGCTCTCTGTCCGAAGTGGGATGGTGAATATCTTTTCCCATTCTGTAAGCTGCCATTTTGTCCTATTGATAATGTCCTTTGCCTTACAGAAACTTTTCAGTTTCATGAGGTCCCATTTATTAGTTGTCGATCTCAGTGCCTGTGCTATTGGTGTGGTGTTCAGGAAGTTGTCTCTTGTGCCAATACATTTGAGATTATTTCCCCCTTTCTCTTCTATTAGGTTCAGTGTATCTAGATTTATGTCAAGGTCTTTGATCCGCTTTGACTTGAATTTTGTTCAGAGTGATAGATATGGATCAATTTGCAATCTTCTACATGCTGAAATCCAGTTATGCCAGCACTGTTTGTTGAAGATGCTTTCTTTTTTCCATTTTGTATGATTTTGGTATCTTTGTTGAAAATCAGGTGTCCATAGGTGTGTGGATTTATATATGGGTCTTCAGTTTGATGCCATTGATCCACCTGTCTGTTTTTATGCCAATACCATTGTGAGTTTTATTACTATAGCTCTGTAATAGAGCTTAAGATCAGGGATGGTGATACCACCAGAAGTTCTTTTATTGTACAGGATTGTTTTAGTTATCCTGGATTTTTGTTTTTCCGTAAAAAGTTGAGTATTGTTCTTTCAAGGTCTGTAAAGAATTGTGTTGATATTTTAATGGGAATTGCTTTTGGAAAAATGGCCATTTTTACTATGTTAATCCTACCAATCCATGAGCATGGGAGAGCTTTCCATCTTCTGATATGTCTCCAATTTCTTTCTTTAAAAACTTGAAGTTCTTGTCATTACAGCTCTTTCACTTGCTTGGTTAGTTACCCCAAGATATTTTATAGTACTTGTGGTTATTATAAAGGTTGTTAATTCTCTGATTTCTTTCTCTGCCCATTTACCGTTTGTATATAAGAGGGTTATGAAGATGATAGAGGTCCTTGTCCGGGTTTTAAGAAGACAATAAAGGTTTAGATAACTGAATTGTGTTCTTACATCTTCACATGTTCTGAAATCTCAAAAAAAAAAAAAAAACCATGATATCCAAGTTAGCAATCTTTTTATGTACCATAGAGATAGCAAATGGCTAGTGTCCATGAAATATAAGATGAATGGGTGAGTAGATGCACACATGCATGGATGGATGCATGTATGGGTGCATGTGTGGATGAATAGAAGAAATACTCTGATCTAGAGGCATCTGTGTGAAGAAAGGGAACTCTCAGCCTACAGTTCTTCTTCCCTTTCAAGGGACCACTTGTCACAGAAGAGTACAACTTTTTGAAAGTATTATCCAAGGGTAAGGAGGACAGAGAAAAAAATTAATTAGAATAATTAGCAGCTATAAAAGCATGTGGCTATAGAATTTATATATTGTTTGAATCACGTTATCTCAAGGCTCATTACAAGGTAAGTATCACTGTTTTTTTCATCTCCACAGATGAGGAAAACAAGTGTTTCTTGAAATAAACAAATCACCTCACACTACACGTAGTAGAAAATCAAAATCTGGAAACTTTTTCTCAATCCTAACCATCTGTATGATTCTCCTGTATCTAATACAGGAGACACAGTTGGCCCTACCAACCCAATCTCTCAACAGCTATATTTGCTTTCAGTGACATGCACACACATACACACACACATATGTGTGCACGCATGTATGTAAGTATGTTTGTATGTAAGTATTATGCATGCAAGGGGAATCCTTATTTTACCATACCACCATGGAGCAATAAATTAAATACTGAGAAGCAGGAAAATTACAGATCTTAGAAAAGATTTTACAAAAGGGGGAAGGTGAGTTCTTACAGAGGGTTTACTTATACTTTTGAAAACTTAGGAAATTGGGGGTTTTTTCCTTGAGAAAATATCACCAAAATCACAATTTAAGATACAGCTTGGTTGGTCCTGAAAAGGCTGGAGTTGAAGATTAATTGCAGCTTCTGCTGAGGGTTTCAACAGCTCAGTAACAATAACAACTGAGCACTTTCTGTGCACGCAGTACCTGACTCCCCCAATTTCTCACCCCTTACAGAAACCTTCCAGGCAGCTGTTGCTGCTACACAAATACAAGAGGAAACGAAAGTTTAAGAAAGTCAATCAATGTGTTCAGTCACAGGACTAGCAGGGGGACAGAAGTGAGGTTTTAACCCAGGCAGCGGTCCACATTCCCTGCTCCCAGCCACTGTGCCCTTTGGGGAGTCTTAGCTGAGCTGCATTCAGGTTCCAGGAGCTCCAACTTCCATAATCTGTATTTTTCATGCCTTTGATTTTTTATATCACTTTGAGATAACAATATACTGGAACATTTCTGTTGTGCCCGACCTAATCTCTCCTTATCACCTCAATGGCCTCTGAAGGAAGAGTTAAGCCTCAAGTGCAAATTCCATATAGATAAACCAACTAAACTTACGTAGTGTCTTTAAAGGGGACTTTGAGTGGCCAGAGAAACTTTCACTGGTGAGCTAGAGTAAGCCAAAAACCTCTCCTACAATGTGTCGTCTTCATTTTTGCTCAAAATTAGCAGCTCTATGTCCAGGGACCCAGAGAAAAAAAATTGTGAATTTATTTATTAAATATCTATAAATAAAATATTAAGGATATTTGTAAACAGTATTTGTAAATAATCCAAACTTCAGTGTGAGCACTTTGCCTGGAACAGACTCCAGAGTTAAAAGACAACTTTTGGAAATGTGCAAGATATTTTTGAATGAGTCCAATTGTAACACTTCCACAGTGGCAATATCTTCTGGAAATAATTGGCATGATGTCTATTGCCAATATTATCTCACTCAGTCAGAAGAAAACGGTTTGTGTGTAAGACTGAATGTACCCGTTACCATGATGTTTCCAAACTACAAGATGGTACCCAAATGCAGATGGGCAGAAGCCGGGGGGAGGGGGGCGCAAAACAAGGAACTGAATCTTTGAATACCCACTGCCAATGAGTGTGGGAATGGTTTTGGGAGACAGGAAGGAGGGGGTAGGGGGGAAGGACAGCATTAATCCCTTGGCAATAAAAGTGAGAAACAAGGGTTATAAACTCTTCTACACCACTCCCACCATAAGTTTTCTTAAAACTGCCATTGTCTCTTCATAAAGAAAAGTCCATATACAGCCAGCATGGCATGGTGACACTTATCTACAGTCCCTGTAACTGGCAGGCTGACCCAAGAGGATGACAAGTTCCAGGCTAGTCTGAGCTACCTAGGGAAGCCTTGTCTGGAACTTTTGTTAAAAGGGGATTAGGGCAGACAGCTCAGCCAGTAAAATGCTTGCCTTGCAAGCAAGACTTAAATCTCCCCAGAGCCCACATAAAAATACCCAGGTGTACCGGCATATGCTGGAACCCTAGCAATGGTTAAGATGGAGTCAATGACAGATGAATCCCTGGAAGCTCACTGGCCAACTAGCCGAGCTTACTGGAAGTTCTGGACCAGTGAGAGACCCTGTGTCAAGCCAAAAGTGGAGGAGACCTGCGGAATGGCACTCAGGATTGTCCTCTGACCAATGTGTGAAGGCACACAGACTGCACAGCTCTCTCTCTGTCTCTGTCTCTGTCTCTGTCTCTGTCTCTGTCTCTCTCTCTCTCAATGGTCCCTGAGCTAAGTCAACATCATAAGCTGTGTTGCTCTGTGTTGCATTAATGTCCCAGAGAGAACTGGTTTGTGTAGCACCTAGGGCAGACTGAAGCTCTAACTTGAGTTGTCAAAACTCAGGTTAAAAGAGAAGATCTTTCTTAAGAATGAGAAAAAGATTTTCAGCATCCTGATGTTCAACAAGAAATGCTGGGTAAAGGCAAGATTTCCTGATTTCTCTTAGGAAATTTCTAAAAATTATTTCTTTACAAACATTAAGATAGGGCTAGAGAGATGGCTCTGTGGTTGGAGCCATACTGTTTTAGAGAACAGAGTTCAGTTCCCAGCATCAACATGGGGTGGTTCACAACCATAATAATTCCAGCTCCAGTGAATCTGATGCCCTCTTCTGACCTCAGCGAGCACTGCACTCATGTGGATAAACCCACACAAACACATATACACATCATTAAAAATAAAAACAAA